GTTGACAAATGAAATGATGCCCACCTCGCTCAACTCTATATATACAGTCACATAAACAAAGCGGTAGATATACGCGAGTGATCCTTCTCACAATCAGGGTAAACAACACGATCTCACTTTATAGTTGCACTTTTCTCATTTATAGGGGCTGTAATCTGTAACGAATCTGAGTCATAATGGCAAAATTTTCGTCGATTTTTTTCTAATATGTAGTCAACCACTCAAGGAGTTCTTCACTATTACACTTCATTTTCTTCTTGGCGTTATACAAGTGATGTTTTTGAATGGCGCAAGCATGGAGTGCAAAGCAAAGGTTCTCCACTCCTAACTTAATTGGATCCATGTGTAACCAGTCATGGTCAACGCCGTTACCGAAATTGAGCTTTGATTTTCAACAACGCACATTTTTTTGGATTCAACTTGAGCGTGCTGCCGATAACCCTTGAAAAACCTGGATCAACAGTACTAGGAATAGCTGCTCCACGGTTCTTGCTGCTACCATTATATCATCCAGTTACCNTTCACTATTACACTTCATTTTCTTCTTGGCCTTATACTAGTGATGTTTTTGAATGGCGCAAGCATGGAGTGCAAAGCAAAGGTTCTCCACTCCTAACTTAATTGGATCCATGTGTAACCAGTCATGGTCAACGACGTTACCGAAATTGAGCTCTGATTTTCAACAACGCACATTTTTTTGGATTCAACTCGAGCGTGCTGCCGATAAGCCTTGAAAAACCTGGATCAACAGTACTAGGAATAGCTGCTCCACGGTTCTTGCTGCTACCATTATATCATCCAGTTACCAAAAACGTCATCTTATAAGAGAGAACGACGTCAAATACATCACGTATCAGTAGTTGGCTTACCGCGGGGGATGATGCCTAACAGACAGACAGCACCACAGACAACTGATACAAGCCTTCAGTCGTAGTGAATGCTCACTTCTTCTTTGCATCCTATAATTGCCTTATTCGCGTATACAATGTGGGAAAGTACCCGTTGCTCTTCAAGCTTTGCGAGATCGTGATAGTCGTTGGTAACAAATGAGCATCAATTCTCGTCAATTGATTGGCCCACGGTAATTCACATTTAATTGTAAGAGCTCGTTTCCATGTGGACCAATACGTCAGGCGATGCTCAGCTCAACTCCTCCGATTTTATGGTCTTCTTCTCATGAACAAGTAGAGCCTTCTGTCAGATTGGCAGCGCTCAGTCAGCATTGACACTATGCTCCACCAGCGTTGTCTGGGTGGACTCTGATTCGCTTGCTGCGGAAACTTGTTCATAGCGCTAAACCAGGCTGCCTATGTCTTCGCTAGACTCTCCTATTAACCTGTCGCCAAGTAAGAGCAGTTGCAACTTCTCCCTGTCCGATGTATTTCGGTGATGCCTTCATGCATCCCCGTGGTGATAGGCTTCACCTTCACGATCTCCTCGAGCTAAACTGTTTCCTCCTCCTCCTGTAATCGGAAAATTTTTGCTTCTTCAAAGGTGTTTTTGTAACAAGCAGACTCAGCGCTAAGTTCCATTATTCCGTACAGTGTACGGAAGTAAGTGATCTGTTGACCAAAAGGTTCCTTCTCAGATGCGTTCCTGACGCAGATTTTCTATATGCCTTAATCCTGTTTCAATGCTGAATCTTTCAGGGAGAGACTGGAATAGACCTGAACGGCGCAAATACCTGTCTCATCGGAACAGATCTCAGCTCAAAACTAACTCGCTGCTTAACAAGCATTCACTTCTATCACTGTCATACAAATAATATTGGTCTAATCTTTATAGGGATCTCCACCTCCCAATCTCAAATACAAAGGCAATAAAAGAACTCATTTTGCATTGTTTACACAAAAATTCACCCACGCGAACGAACCGCGAAATCATGTAGTCATGGCGTTGTGCTCGTTCTGAATTGATAGGCATCTTTCATAGTCCACGATCGGTCGCGCGACTGGTCGCCGGTCGCTAGCGACTGGTCGCTAGACTGGTCACTCGACTGATCGGGCCACTGGTCGCTCGATCGGTCGAGGAGGCCGCGCTAGTTATGGGTGCCGCCGCGGACGGTCCCGCGCGATCAGTCGAGCGACCAGTCGCTAGCGACCGGTCGTCGGTCGCTCGTGAGATGGGTCCGCGACCAGTCGCGCGATCAGTCGTTGTCATAGAGTTCAAATGCTGCCGACTGCCCAATGTCCCATTGTCTACGATGAGTTCAGAAAATCTTCCATATTGTCGGCAAACTATTAGGTTGACGCATAATTATTGCGGATTTTTTCGCAGCTTCTTTTCTCTCGATATAATTTGAACGTTGAGTTCGGGTTTTTTCTGGAAATGATCTACTTGATTTCCTCTACAAAAGTGTACCTAGAAAACCATCCGCATATTCGCGAAATCAGGCTCTACTACTTCGAGAAAGGTTGGAAGGTGGCAGAGTCATTCCGCGATCTCAGTAACATTTTTTAAACAAGTTTTATTTAATGAAACGACATAAATACTGAACGAAAACATGCTTAAATAATTACTCCGAAACTTTTCCAAGTAGTAGAGCCTAATTTCGTGAATATGCGAATGGTTTTCTAGGTACATTTTTGTAGAGGAAATCAAGCAGATCATTTCTAGAGAAAGCCCGAACTCAGTTTTCAAATTCTATTGGGAGAAAAAAGCCGCGAGAAAACCCGCAATATTTATGCATCACTCTAATATTTTCGCCCGAAGCCTTTATAATCTCTCTTATTTGTGAAGCAGTAACTTGCTGTGTCGGTTCGTCGGTATGTCGGTTTGTCGGTTTTGTGTTTGTCGGTCTGTCCGTCCGTGAAACTTATGATTACGATGAAGGTAGTGATATGGAAAANAAAAACCCGAACTCAATTTTCAAATTCTATTGGGAGAAAAAAAGCCGCGAGAAAACCCGCAATATTTTTATGCATCACTCTAATATTTTCGCCCAAAGCCTTTATAATCTCTCTTATTTGTGAAGCAGTAACTTGCTGTGTCGGTTGGTCGGTATGTCGGTTTGTCGGTTTTGTGTTTGTCGGTCTGTCCGTCCGTGAAACTTATGATTACGATGAAGGTAGTGATATGGAAAATCCAGAACTTTTCTACATCTTCTTCTTATATATGAAGCAGTAACTTGGTGGATAGGTTAATGAAGTAGAATGAGTGAAGTAAGTAACGTGGAATAGGTAGGTACTTCGAAACTAACAATAAGATTTCTATCTGTACTGGCATCGTGCTATGTATTTCTATACTAAAATCGGAGATTGTAATGTAGTTGGGAGACCTCCGCTTTTCTTTCAACATTAACATTGAGCGCTAGAATGCAAATAAAGAAAGGAAAATTAGCCCATAATTGTACTCAGAAACGCTCCTCGTTTCGTGAACATACAAATTTAGACCTGAACATTGGGAAGAGACCGGGTTAGATGAGCCAATCGAATGTTGAACTCGCACCTCATCTTGGCTTCTCGCAATCATCTCATCCTCCTCCCCTCCTAATGCTCAGGTGAAAACTATATTCTTTTGCCTAGAACCGACTTTCAGCACAACTAACGTTGGTTACCCCTCCCTCTGTCCACTCCAACCCTCAATGTTGAATAAAAGCGATACCCCGCTAACTACATGCTCTAACTACTTTGTAAAAGTAAGGAGAGAAGCTCGGTGGAGCCGGACGACCCTTTACAAATAAAGCGGCAACCGCCATATACATACATGTACATATATGCTACCTTAGAGCGATTGCATGGTCATTCTGAGTGAGCAAATCTCATCCTGGGACCTGTCGCGCTTCGGAAGCACATATTCATCCTCATTCTAGTCACGAAATACACTTCTACAGTCTGGCTCTATGACTCTGTGACTGGGGTGCTTTGAAGAAAGATTATGCTGTCTAGGCGTGGTGTAAACAGAATTTCCTATATCTCTTCGCCCTGATGAATGTTAGCTGGCTCTGGATCTGGTTCGCCGTTTAGAGCATTTTCAAAAGCGGAGCAAGCGTGGACCCTGACCGCCATAACTTTTTAGAGGCAGTCTCACAGGGAGCTTGAGACAGGTTACATACAGATTATCACTTAGACACAGTCAACAAGTTTTCTCAGCGTTTCCGAAAGGCTAAAAGAAAATCGTTGCGATGAAAATCAAAGACTCTTGCTCAGGCTTTTTTAGAAGGAATCGATGTTACTTGCTCCTTATTTGGCCTTTATTCACATTTTACTCGGCATTTGCGTTGTTTCCACTATTTTGTACAATCTTATACGCAGAGCACATTGCAGTACTTTCCGACATTCATTTAAAGGCACAGTTCACGATAAAAATGGCTTACGAGATATTGCGCTAGGACAAGTATGTGGCCCCTTCGTACACCATATGTGACGCTGCCAGGCCATGGTAAAGGCTGCATCATTCAGAAGGGAACCCATGTAGGAAGTTCAGACAACTTGTCATGACCCATAGCGACAAAGGCAGTTCTGGGCAGCTCCGGCCTATGAAGACAGCTCCTTGCGCGAATTCAATAACTGAAATCTCTTCCAAGTATCCCTTCCATGTCATTTCCGTCGTGGCAATCTCGTACAACCTCTATTTTCACAACTTCCGAGGGCCTTATTTTATGCCAAATCGGCGCATTGTCTCCCTTGCTTCATCACCGTTGCACTACTCCCAACCAATACATCCGCTTCTAGGCCTAGACGGCACCTAGAAATTATGGTGAATTGTGCATTCAAAGCAAGCGTCACGCAAAAATTTTTGAAGCATTATTCTAAACAGTGAACTTTTTTTCAGAAATAATCACCTTTTTCATTTTTATACAAAAGGTATGTTGTTGTCTGATATGTTTCTCGCAAGTTCATCCATTCTCGGTCATCAACTGAGAGGACGGGGATCCCATTGTTTTCGTAGCGACTGGTACTCGAAAGATGTCCTGATGAGTAGCTCGATGCGTTGGGCAGGAAATGTCAAAGCTCTTGTATTTTCATATTTATGACTTCGAGCAAAACCACGGTAGGTTTCTAGAGATCTTCAGAGACCGTGCGAGCCTCAAGTTTCAGGGCGCAGACAGCTTTGTGCTTTTCCAACACTTGTACTCGGGCAAAAGACAGCTCGCAGTGACCACATCTGAAAACAAAGATGCGTAGAAACCTTTGTTCGAAAATAAGTGGAGCCATATATGAAAATCGGGTTTGCCTTTCCGTACCTGTGTTTCCTATGTGGAAAATGTGTTTGTTCATGCGCACGGAGGTTACTTCGATCAGCAAAATTTCGACCACAAACCGAACAAACGTAAGGCTTCTCACCTGGAAAAATCTAAATTCTGATGACAACAAAAGATGGCTTGAGCATATTCGAAATCATACGGACCTGTATGCGTCCGCTGATGACCTTTTAGCAGCCACGGGCGACTGAAACTCTTGCCACACTTCTCACATACACATGGTAATGAGTGTGTTTTCAAATGCATTTTGAGAGCTCCCGGAGACCTAAAAGCGAAAATTTGCATCTCATATTTTATTTGTTCATTTTCATTTTATATCCCCTATTCAATGAGAAATGTTCGATTTGATCGAAGGTCAATTCGAAATAAGAATGTTCTGTATGCACATTATACCATAATTCGAACGTTGAATTTCATATACTTCCTCAACACAGAAAAATTCTATTGATTCATCAATAGATCATTTGACCCTTCTGAGCCCTCACGACCTACACCTATTGTGCTCAGATAGTTGACCTTGAATTTTAGAACATCACTTAATCAGTCAGGCCGCCCGACTGACGCCATGCTTCCTACCTTCTTGTGACAGATTTGTAACAAACGGCAAGCCGACCGCTCCTTTTTTGGAACAAGGATATCTTCCAGAGCAAAAAGCTTGGCAAAGGACTGACAGGGCATGCAAGTGGTATTCGGTACCTGCCGATGCTTATGCCTATGATTAGATGTCTCAGTCTATTGCAGTTCATCTTGAAAATAACGACCCAATGAAGGTTCTTCTGATATGCAACCAAAGCCATGAATGGTACTCACAAGTGTTGTATAGTAATATTAACATCATTATCAAATGTCTTTAACAATGGAGCTTCCTTTCTCTACGGATATATCGCTGATTGAAAACCTCGGATTATTGGCGGTCGGATAAGTTTTGTCACAAATGATATGAAATCAAAAGGAATCCGTGATCCTCCATTGAGACAGAAACTTTGCTGAGTAGTGGTCGTAATGTTACATCAAGAGGTGGACTAATTTTTTTTCTGCTTTCAGTAACGTGCCTTTAATCGGTCCCTATCACTGAATTAACGCGTCTTATTGAATGACACATGTCAAGAGTTAAGCTAGAACGTAAATAACAAAGGCGTTAGGATTAAATTGGTGAGTGGTTCTTGCTATCTGAGTCTCCTTATTTTGTCAATTGCTATCAGTTCCTATCACCGAGTGCCCGCGATACCGTCACATCCGAGAGAGATCACCTACAGAAACACCAAGGTTTCACTGGCAAATGGAACCTTGGCATTTCAATANATGTCAAGAGTTAAGCTAGAACGTAAATAACAAAGGCGTTAGGATTAAATTGGTGAGTGGTTCTTGCTATCTGAGTCTCCTAATTTTATCAATTGCTATCAGTCCCTATCACCGGGTACCCGCGATACCGTCACATCCGAAAGAGATCACCTTCTGAAACGCCAAGATTTCAGTGACGAATTTAATCTTGACATTTCAATAAAAACAAAATTCAACATTTCAAAACGAATGGCGTTGCAGATCTAGTAGCTCTAGCCTTCTATGGCTATTTGTCAGCCTTTTTATCTTGTTATCAGTCTTTGTCAACAATCGCTTACGGTCTCATCACATTCCACACCACCTAGTGAAGTGCAAAACTTCCACTGTTGATACGAAGGATGATTCTGCGGCTTTTGCCATCTAAGGCTCCTTATCAAGTTTTATCACTTCTTATCACCCACCATCAGCGTTTCCTTTCCTGACTCTTGCACTCCTACCTAATTTGAGCGCTCTGGGTCTAAATTGACAATTTTCGCTCACACTCCGCCCATTGTGGCGGGGGTATAGTCTTGTTATCTAAAATCAATATTTCCGATCAGTTTCTTGTGTCCCTTCCTAGTTTCAGCGCTCTAGGCCAAAATGACATTATTTGATCATGCTGCACTCCCTGGCGGAGTACAGTCCTACCACATATCATGAGTGATTCAATCCTACCACCTGTATTCCTACCAGGTTTTAACTCTAATTTCGAAATGACAATTTCTGCCCAATCCTCTTCCGTGTGGGCGGAGTCTAAACCTGTTGCCCTTCAGAGGTGTTCCCATCCTGCCGTCTGTACTACTACCAAACTTAAACACTCTAGGTCCACGGGAACAGGAGCTACGAGCTCCCGCTCAAAAATTTATTTTGCTCAACCTCGCTTCCTGTGGGCGGAGTCTGGCCCTGCTACCTACCAAGATTGTTCCCATCCTGCCCTCCTGCACTACAACCAAACTTGAACTCTCTATGTCCGGAAGCTATGATTTTCCCGGCAAACACACACGCGCCCGTACATGTGTACATACACACACGCACGGACCAATTAACATACACACTCAGCCGATTGCATATAGTTGAATTCTCACAATCCGCAGCCTCATTTCAAGCCCGCGTTCTTTTCGTTCCTCACACTGATCTACATGATTCACTGAGCGTGACTATTGTTTGTAAGTGAGTATGCGGGTCTGCGTGTGTGTTTAACCAGAAATTCATATTTTTTATCCCACGATATCGAGCTCTCAAGTAGTAAAGGATAAGGCGGGCAGGATGGTCACCGGATGGTAACAGTTGGAACGAACCGATGAGGAGGCTTAGAAAGCGAAGGCCCAGTGATCCGGAACGTCCTTCATGTTATCAATGGAATTCTGGCGGATAAGAATGTGATGAAGTGTTTGAAGGGGACACTGATTGTTAGTAAGTGGGAGCGGCTGATAAGGATCTATAGGAGGTAAAAGTCACCGAGTAGACTACGCCTTATTTGTAAACAGTAGAATATGGACATAGACGATACGGGATTTGACGGGATCATGAATGGTTGGTGACAAGAAACGATAATAATTGATAATGGCATGTAGGGAGCTATGGGAGACATGAAATGCCTGATCCATTACGCTGTTCGGGTTAATAGTGGAACTTTGGAAGGCTATGTAGGGTGTAAATGGATCGTAGACATTGGTGGCAGTGAGTGATATTAGATGATAAGGACCGATGCGGAGCCATGGAATGGGAGAGCCACCAAATTTGTAACGCCCTTCATTCCAGCGGTAGAACATTGCCATTTTGGCGTGTGTTTTGAGATGATTCGGGATCGAGGATGGTTGATAACAAGGACTGGTACAAAGTGATAAGATCTGATAATTTATTTAGCTCCCCCTTCTTGCATGGCAACGGGCATTGCTACTTCATTGTGTTATTTTGGATGGGACTCGACCGCAGATGAATGATTGCAGAAAATGAAAAAGCCGATAAGGGCAACGGGAATCCGGCGTGAGTAGGGCGACCCGTCTGCTGCTCTTCTGGTACTGTATCTTCTAATAACCCGACATACTATAAACAGGGTACACACATGAAACATCGTTCCTCAAGAGCATAGCCTACGGCGGCACGGATATTAGGGCTTGTTCCAAAGAAGCATGGTTTGGTTTAGCATTAGCCTGCTGAAACAAACGCCTTTACCAATTCTGATGACCTCGCAGTCATCCGCACGATAGAGAACCGTGTGGAATTCTTTTCAGCATTACAATGATCCCTAGAATGGGAGAAAACGGAAATGTTTTAGATCAAACTTTAGCGTCACTTCTTCAATCAGTAAGTTCTTCTCCAAACGTATTCAACGTGTAGTATTACACTAATGTCTCCCTTAACAAACAAGGTTTGTTTCCATGGTTTTCCAAACTTTAACATCAGTAGCAAAGAGTTCCATAAACGAAGCGAAGAAAACGGTTCAAATGATCTCTATGATTTGATCGAAATATTGGTTTGATAGTGTAACATCCATAAGTAGCTAACCACCATAGGACGCGAAAGGCTCAAATACAAAGAACGTTTGTATCAGAGAAAAAACAAAATTGAAGAAAACTCAGCGTCAAGATGAGTTCCCACTTCACTTCATTCCCAGGTGTTTCGAATCACTTCATTGGTTCTTTGGGAGTAGATCTGTTACTCCTAGAAAGCTCACTGCTCTAGAGGATTTCTGGCGCCTCTGTTGTGTTACCAACATTTCAATTTCGTATCTGCGTTCCACAAAATCGAGAGGAGTCTCTACAGTTAATTTCAAAACCAGCCTCTTCACTGGTACCTTACAAATAACTTTTGAAAATGCAACCACAATTCACTTGTAGTTTGCATTTGCTGGACAATACACTTTATTTAACCCTTACGAGTCATAAATGAACGGTTACAACAGAATCACCTTCAAAAAGGAGGGAATCTTTATGCTGTCTCAACAAATTCTTTCAAAGGTGAGGCTTGAAGGTCGTGGCCATCAGGCGTTTGGAGTCACTGCTCCTTCTCCAACGCACCTGTTGTCACCTTATTGTCATCTATCATCCCTTTTGGCAGGTCACCTTCCTTCCGTTCTTCATACACACACCTGACTGTCATCTTATCTGCCTACTGGCTCGTAGAAGATTTGGGAATGCGAAGCGAAAGAACCCTTCGCAAATTCTGTGAAGGTTAGACTAATAGCCTTTAAACTAATTTTCGAGAGCTCTGTGTATGATGCCTAATTTTAGAATACATGCAATGGAGAAATTTAAAAAGAACAGCAGGCATTCAAAAGTAAATTTCATACTCGCCTTTTTCAATACCTGGGCAACCTTCGCAAATTGGACGTATCGAATGTTTCTGCGCCGGGCAAATTTCTTCCAATGGTGGAACACTTATTCTTCCGATATTTCGATAAAGTCATAGTCTTCAATGGCGAGGATTTTTGAAAGGTACTTATTACGCTTAACTAAGGCTAACTCCTAACTCACTATCCCGCAACTCACAAGAACCCTAAATGCAACAACCTAGACCAACGAGCTGCAAAGAGAGTTGGGACCTTACTGCGAACTACTCACTCTAAGCCTCAAAACAATGAGTGCTCAGCTTGACAGTGGGCAAGCAAGGTTTTCCGGTGGCACTCATGATAATAGGCCATAAAGTTCTACGGATCATTTCCCACTATCAAAGCTCATAAGTGGTATATGTATAACCAGTGGGGTCATCCGGCTTACGCCGGGCCTCATTCCTTACTTTTACCAAGAAGTTGAAAAAATACAGTTAAGGACCCTCCTGGGGCTCAGATCAGATCAAAAACTGAATGCTCTGGGAATGTTAATGAGCACAATTATGGGCTAACTTCCTTATGTTGAAATTATGTTGAAGAACAGAAGAGGTCTCCTGACTACATTGTCACCTCCGATTTTTGCAAAGTTACATAGCACGATGCCAGTACAGTGCGAAATCACAGTTTTTAAGTACCCACTTCACATCACTCACTTCACTCCGCAGTACTCACTCCAGCCCATTAACCTACCCATCAAATTACTGCCTTATATATAAGAAGGAAGTATAGAATAGAGCTAAGTTTTCCATATCACTACCATTATCATAATCATAAAGTCACATTATAATCATTCGAGGAAGGGCAGACCAATAAACCAAGTTACTGCTTTATAGAACAGCGATACAAGAGATCATCATGCTCAATGCTAATGCTAGCAAACTTAATGCTTGTCATTCACGCATGGATTCCGGAGCATTATCCCTAAGCTTTGAGGACTTATAAGCTTCAGTGTTTGACATGCGAGACACACAGAAGAAAGTAGCACAAAACTATATGCCCGTGTAAAGGAACATTTGTTTGGAAACGAAAGGAATAGGGAAGAAGGATAACACACTTCTAAAGCTTACTAAGCCCGGAAGCGAGGGTTAATTAATTCTAACTGTGACCTCAAGCGAGCGATAGTGGGGTGAGAGAGCAACATATGGAGGATCATATAATCTCATTTGCTCTATCATTTTCCAAGTTGAACAAATACTTGGTGTTGGTGGAATTGGCAGCCATTAGCCAGATTCTCAAACATTCGGGCTAAGATTCAACCAATATAAAGCCTATCTCCGTGATAAGTAGTTCCAGCATTTTTGGAACTGTTTTTGTTTTGGGAAAGTCGAACTTTAAAGGAGCGAGAGGATTCCGAAACGCCAGACGATCAACTAAGAGTATTGATTCGAAAAGTTCCCCGTCTACAGAAGCAGTGAATGTTCATGGAAACAAATAATCGCTATTCATAGTCTCCCACACACTTTGCCATTGTAGTGGGTGAAACGTTCAGTTTCCATGCCCCGTTATGAGCTGTTTGTCTGACTTTTGCGTTTCTAACTAGAGCGATTATAAAGATGAAAAGCTATTAAAAGTTCTTCGCTGGGATGATGCATGAGTGTGCAACACTATTTCACCAGTTCCAACAGTACAACCAACCGGCTGCTCACACTTGTCATTAGACCACCTGTTTCGAAAGCTTTCCGGTTTTCTTTGCGTTTGTAACACCCAGGGGAACAGGTGCGCGCAGGTGTGCTGCTCAGCATCAAAATATTGCCGCCCAACAAAGGCGTAAACCTCTCAAGCCTCGAAATGTTTTCCCCATTGGCGTGACTTTCAAAAATACTCTTGACCAGTGACATTTATGGCAACATCTGAAGGTGCATACCTCCATAAAGGTGCAGATACGAGAAATATTTTTGCAGCTTACAAGCTCATAGATGTATGAGAAACTCACTTATAGTGCTTATTACAGTGAGCACATGTTTGGTCAACCCGTCCGTCCTGGTGGCACTGCATGTGCCGGCGTAGGCCGAAGAATGTAAGGTAAGATTTGGAGCAGAGCGGACACTGAAATTCGACAGTTATGTCGCTGTAGAGAGAGTGAGAGAATGTCTGTAATAAATAATACCTGCATTCTGTCGATAGCCGCCGTTGATGGTTGCGATGTATCCGGCGATATGAGATCATCAATATCTAAAAAAATCGTATCAACAATGTTCTTTTCTGCAGCTGATGAACTGCCGCCACTAACATCAACCTTTCGCAAAAAGATTGTTCGAGATTCGATGGTTTATTGCACTGGTTGCTGGCTTATCATTGACATATTACTTACTCTCGAAGATAGACCGCTTTCGAAGTGCAGCTGCCATTAGCTGACCGACGTGGTGAAATATGGCGGGAAGGAATACGTCAGGAATTGCAATTCAAGGAACGATCGGATAGCCAGAGTGATCAAGTAATCCGTTTCCGCACTCACCTGTGCAACCTGACGGCTGCCACAGGTGCTTTACACTCGACATCTCGCTCATTCCACCACCACTCGCCCGAGGTACGGTAGCGTTAATGTGTCTCAACACCAATGGCTCTTCAATTTTACTAACAACANCCATATTTGGTGTCACATTTAGGTATTTGAGAAATTCCACAAAGATATTAAGGTGAATAGACTTCCATCAAGGATAAGATTAGAACTCTGGGGAAATGACCAACCCCGCTTTTGGGTTTACCCATTCAACTGCGTTTCCTAATCGTGTTGGGGCGAGCATCTCGTCTTGCAAGAGCTTGTCTGAGCTAGCCGATGCAGACGTACTACTCCTAGGACGACTCTTTCGAAGCCGGAAACGGAAAACCTGGAAGACTAGGCAGGGATCGGAGTAGGATCTGGTTCAGTGACGATGTCTGTAGTGGTGACGCCATTTAGCACTGCTCACATAATGTTATGTCTCTTCGCGTTTCCTTGATTTTATTTTTGACGATAACAATCTATTGTGGAGATTCACTCGAATGAGCGATCAACAAAGCACCCGAACTTTCTGTACTCTGATTGAAATTTTAAATACGTAGAAATGATAATACACAAATTTTTACGAAAATTATGTTGTATAAAATAAGTTGGGAGTCAATTTAGGACCATGTGGGACCTTGTTATGCTCTTTTACGTTCGCTTCACGGAGTTTGAGTTCACCGTCATTTCAAAAACTCCATACTGTCATCGTTAGGGGCATTGAACAATGTTACAGTCGTCTCAGATTGAAGTGCAGCACTCATGGACAAACAGCTTTGGCAATCCGGTATTAGTGAAAAATATGATCATTACAGAGTTTTTNTTTTTCGGGTGATACGACAACTCGTTCGGTGGAAACGAATTTCTCCAAAGAGCATGATCTGATTAAGAAAAGTTGTTCCCTTTTCGATTAGTCAATTACGGAATGGTGGATATGACAGAGCTTTGCAATTTTCCAACATCAACGAAGGAAGAGCCTAGTCGAGAAGCCTTTTGTCAAGTTTAATTGGCGGCTACGTACGCCACCATTGGAGCACCTGTTGCCACTTAACCGGTGCAGATCGCTAGCCACCTGAGCGCAATGGCATGACTAAGCTTCTTCCATTCAACATCCATGTAAATCACCAGCTCGGTATAAAACCTCATATGGAAACCGTAATGCTCAGAGAATCCATTCCAGCGACACGAAAAGGGGTGAGCCGAATGTAAAGGAATTTGAGCTACACAATCCACTTGAGTTGAAATGCAGCTCTTTACCTCAACTAGACTTTTTCTTCTTTTCAATGCTGTACAACCCTTCCCTTCCAATGACTCTTTTTTATCGCTGATTTATGCCCAGGTCTTCATTTCTTCTGTTCATTGGTTAATTCGGTTTCCACTATTTGCTTAGGAATGCAGCCTGCTTGGAGCGATGCTCATGCCGAAATAACTCGTAGAGAACCTGGGAAACAGCTTAAAAATACTACGATCGTAACATACAAGGATACGAATTACTATCCTGGAGGGGCCATATTGAAAACAGTGAAAAAACTTGAAAAAATTAGGTTCCTTGGGACTCGTGTAAGATCTAGTTTGGAACAACGCACCGATTGCGGCGGCCCGTTTTCAAGAGATTGAATCTGGAGTTCCTTGTTACTTTTGTGAACTTTTCGAAGCTCTTACAGCATAAATACAGAATAATTTTCAATGCTGCTTTAAAAATATGGTTTGTCATTGAAGATACAATTAGTGCGGTCATGTTAATCCTCTAGCATACGTAAAGTGACTCTAGGAAACGAAACATTTCGTTGCTGAGGAGAAAAATGGCTAGGGAGTGGAAATGAAGCTGAAAGTTGTTTCACATCTCATTCTCGTTGGAACCGCATCCTGAAGAGAGCTGTTATCAAAAAAAAAATAGTAGACGTAGAGTCACATAATCATTGCTGCCATCTCTTGATGTGGAGAAATCTTCTTTTGGTGCTGTATATAATAGAAGGCTACGGATCTCCTTTCACTGAGGGTTCTCTCTCACTGAAGGATC